CACCTTCCTAGCCCACAATATTTTTGTGTAATGAGCACGCAGAATTGGACGAGTAAAAGATGTTGAAAGTGTTAGGCTTGTTTGGATAAAATTATAAGTTGTTAAAATTATAATGTGATAGAAATGAGTAGCTAGTAGGTAAGTGAGTGATAGTCTTGGATCATATGAATGAGATAACCTTTGGTAGGATGGTCCTATTAGCCAGGTGATAGAATCGTCTATCAAATTACGACATCTCGTACTATTTAAATCATGACGCATTGGGGTTGTGTACCCAATTTGTTTCTCTTTCTTGCTGCGTAGGACATGGAAGTATAGCAATTTCAGTGGCTCGAGATCCAAGATATTATAATTTGAGTTGATGGTTATACGACATGTGCATATATGACCGGTCAATTCGAAACTTTTCTTTCTATAATATATGTAGTCAAAATTTATGTTCAACTTTGACCATTCACTTATAAAAAAATTATAATATTTCCGAATTATGCACTAAGTAAATTTCAATGTTCCACCCACACCCTCTTATATATAGTGCATGCATTGGAGTGCGGCGTCCATTATCCTATATTCTTATACTGAGAGAAAAACCAGTTCAAAAATGAAACTACAAGTAAATATACAGATACTCCAGCTCTCGTTTCTAGCAGTTTTATTCTTTACCCTTCTCCTCCACAACACCGTATCCTCCGCCCCATTCTCCGCCGTCCTCCGCCTCTCACTGTCATGCACCATCTGCACATTCATCTCCATTTTCTANTCATGCACCATCTGCACATTCATCTCCATTTTCTACTACTTCTACACCCGCCCAAGCCGGGTTTACATGCTAAACTACACCTGCTACAAACCACCACCTCATCGGAAGTGCTCATATCAAGTGGCTGAGAATTTCGTGATCCGGAATGCGCAGTTCACCGAGAAAACCCTAGACTTCATGCGTAACATTTATCTGAAATCGGGTTTAGGTGATGAAACTTATGGGCCCGCGTTCATTTTTGAAAAGGAGGGTGTTCCTACACTAAATTACGCCATTCAAGAAGCTGAAGAAGGGATTTTTTCTTCCATTGATGCCCTTCTGTTAAAAACCCTAATCGATACAGAATCCATAGACATTGTTATTGTTACAAGTGGAAGCTTTTCTCCTCCTCCATCACTTTCTTCACTCATTGTAAATCACTATAAACTCAAACCTGACGTGAAAACATATAATCTTAGCGGTATGGGTTGCAGTTCTGGTGTTATTTCAATGGATTTTGCAGCCAAGATTTTACGTAGCAGCCGAAAAATTCGAAATGTTCTTTTAGTCATCACTGAGAGTATCACTTTAAATTGGTACACCGGTGATAACCGTTCAATGCTGGTGACTAATTGTATCTTCCGGGTCGGCTGCGCCGCCGCGATAATCACCAACGACCCTAGTCGCCGCCGTGTCTCCAAGATGGAACTTGTGGACTCGCTCAGGACTCACCACGGGGCTGATGGCAGCGCGTATAAAGCTGCATTTCAAGAAGAGGATGAGAAGGGTAATAACGGGATTTCACTCACCAAGGATTTGATTAGAGTTGCTGGCATGAACTTACGCAAGCACATCAAGATTTTAGCGCCACGAGTCTTGCCACTGAGTCAAATCGTTCATTATGCCTACTCGGTAGTGTCGGCCAAGATTTCGGGGGACGAGTCAAAGCCCGTCGTCCCAGACTTCAAGACAGCATTCGAGCATATATGTATACACACAGGTGGTAAGGCTGTGATTGAGAATGTAGCCCGAGTTCTTAAACTGGACGACGAAGTGACTGAGCCCGCTCGAATGACGCTAAACCGGTTCGGAAACACGTCTAGTAGTCTTGTATTCTATGAATTGGCTTATTTTGAAGCCAAGAAAAGAGCGAAAATGGGTGATAGAATGTGGATGCTGGCATTTGGGACAGGGTTCAAAGTTGGTAGCTTAGTGTGGAAATGGATTCAAAATTCAAGCCAAGAATTTGATAATCCATGGAATGATTGCATCCAAAATTACCCATTGAAGGCTTGATAAGTTCGAGTCCAAGAAAAGTAGAAGACCTACCAAGCCTGTTCGTGAATTCCCAGTAACAAATTTAACAAAAAAACCCAAACATAGAAATATCTCAGCTTGATGGCCCATACGTATTTTTTATTTAATTATCGTTAATAATTGATTAGTTGGTTTTTTAAATTTTGTGGTTTGTTTTAGCGTCGAGCTTATAGAGTTGGAACTATCAATTTACTATTTTGGAATGTACTTTTCAGAGAGTTCGTCGGAGTTCTAGAGCGAGGTCAAAATTGAAATGGATCACAACATTTTATTTATATTTGGATGATATTTTAAATTTTACTTGATTAGTCAATGTCAGTTGTTCTTTACCTAAATTTCGACTTAAGAATCTCATGAATGCCTTCAATAACTCCATTTTGATTATACTTATGCAAAAAACTTATTTTTTTGAGCACCAACTTAACTCCATTAATAAAATTTACATTGACTTAATTTTTTTTTTTTTTATAACAGTGGATGTCCCGAACAGCTTGCGTGCACCTCGACTAATTTCACGGGACTTGAAGTTTACTGCCGGGTACTCACCTCAATGGCCCTGAGGGGACTCGAATTGATGACCTTTGGGGAACAAACTCAAGGCCTCACCAATTGAGTAATCCCTCAAAGTTACATTGACTTAAATTAAAAAATTTATTTACATATTTAGATCCCAAAATTTTACCTTTCAAACCCAAATCCAAGCGAAAAGTACCTCTCTCACCACACTATTTCACCGTATCCTCACAATCAACCTGGTGAAGTCATCTAAAGTTCAGAGCACGGATAAGAGGCTCAAAAGGATTCGTTGCATTGTAGGTGCCTAAGAAGCAAAAAAAACTATCGAAGAAGCACTTCATGTGAGCCGAAGAGGGGATGATAAAATACCTATTGGCGATGGATACTCTCCTAATAGATAGACTGGGCAATCCTTATTTTTCATTAATTTTATAATTTGCAATTTAAATAGTATAAAAATAAATATTCCATTCGTGTCATTTATATATGCTGATTTTATTTTCCACATGGATTACAAATTTTTATTAATGTTATTGAAAAAGAAAATTTTGCCAAAAAAAAAAATTTATAGTTTACCTTTATTTATATTTGTGGAATTTCAAGGTTAAGTGAGAAAATTGATTATAATTAGGTAAATTAGACAACGATATATTATTAAACGTATAAAATAAAATATTCTTAATAAAAAAAGAGGATAATCTAATTGGGACATGTAAATAAAGGGTAAACGGCCTATGCAAATTGGACGGAAGGATTCGCTCATCGTTATCCCCATCAGTTTCCTTTGTAGCGCTCAAACCCCTGTAGAACCCCTCAAAAACCACATCAGATTTGGGTTACTACTCCATTGGAGCACACTAGACCAGGCTGCAAGCACCATGTACGGATAAAAAGAAGTGGCATAGCAGCAATACTGGTTTCATTAACCGTTCACGAGCGTTGCGCAGGTTAAGCAGAGCCATGCCAATCCTTATGCATCATCCTGTAAGCAAGTCCTTCCCTCACTTCATCCCATCCTTCTCCTTTAAGATTCCGATTATTAACTCTATTGTCATTCAGGCTTCTTCCAAATTCTCACTTGCTGAAACCCCAAATTTCCCTTCAAAATCTTGCAAAGGCTTGTGCTTGTCCTTACAATTACCAAATAAGCGAACCCGTGTTCCGTTTTGTTCCAAGAATGGAGTTTCCGAGGATTTTACAGATACCCTTTTGTCCAAAGAAACTGAAAATGAATTTGAAGAGCTTGAGTTACTTAACAAGCCATCTCCAAAGCCATTAGATGATGGGTCTACTGAAGAAATAGTGGAAATTGAACCGGAGAAACCTGATAAAGATGAAGTCTTGGAGACTTTTTACAAGTTCTTTAGGCTATCGGATGAAGAAAATGATTCAGAAGGAAGTAAAATTGAGAGCTCTAGTCAAGAGGAGAATAAGAAAGTTAGTGTAGAGTATTATGACCCGAATCCTGGTGATTCAGTGGTGGGAGTTGTTGTTTCCGGGAATGAAAATAAGCTCGATGTGAATGTGGGTGCAGATTTATTAGGAACAATGCTGACTAAAGAGGTGTTGCCTTTGTATGATAAGGAGATGGAGCAATGAGTGAGGATCCAAAGCCAGGAAAACCTGTTGTGGAGCCTGGAACTGTTCTTTTTGCTGAGGTTCTTGGCAGGACTCTTAGTGGCCGGCCGTTGCTTTCAAGCAGAAGACTTGTTAGGCGCATTGCTTGGCACCGAGTGAGGCAGGTTCTTTTCTCTCTCTCTGTTCTTCATTGTGGAACTTTGAATATTTGTTGGCTGAACATGTTATGATGCATTAGTACAGGTGAAATTGGCGAAGAAATATATGGTTATCTAGGAATATGTGTCAAGCGATTTATCTGACGTAAAGTATACCGTGTACGGTGTCAAGTTTTGTAATATACGAATGGAGTTAGAGTATCAAACCCACGTGGATTGCAATTTAGCCCCTGTTTGACATCCATTCTCTTTCCATTCTCTTTCTCATTCTCTTTCTCTTTTTTTATTTCAACCATACATTTTGTAATAAAATAATATTACATATAAACCCAAAAATTCTTCTTATTTTTTAACCACACATTTTTCCCATCAATCACTATTCCAAAATTTATTCTTCTCCAAAATGGGTGTCAAACACACCCTTAATTTAATTTTATACTAAGTACTATAATTGTGTAGCTTATATTTTATCTAGATAAATGAATTGTTGAATCAATGTTTTAAACTAATCTAATGATGAACGTGGTGATAAATTCAGCAAATAAATGCAAGTTAAGAGAATAATCAAGATGAGAAAGCCTAGGGTTTTGATTTCACCTAACTATCAAATATGATTCTCAATTATCTAGTTAACTGTAATCAATTTTTCAAAATTTATAAGTAAGAACCCTAATGTAATTCTACTCCCTATCTCGAGTACCGGGTAAAAATTAAACCTGGAAATTAATTTCAATATCCTTATTATGAATTAAAATCGAAGAATTATCATGTTCATGGTTCTTATGTGGAACAAGCTTTAAATGATATTTTCTTTGGAAACGTATAAAACCTAGGTTGTGTTATTCTATGATCACGCTTGAATTTCTCTCTCTCGAATGCCGAAATTTAAAGTATCAAATCATTTAATTTGTCATCAATTAATTGAAAGTATTAAGAATTAATAACACAAATAAACATGATTGAAAAATATAAAAGAAATAACTACAATGAAATCAAACCATATTCTCAAGTTTATGTTACATCAAACCATAGATTAGAAGTTTATTTTATGACGGAAGCCATAAAAATAATCAAATTCAAATAAAACAACATAGAGAAGAGAATAGAAATGCTGGTTTTGATAGATCTTCAATTTCCTTTGTGATGTTCTTGATTTCTCCTTGATTCCTTGACGATTGCCTGGTTGAATTCTTGCTCTTGACTAGATGAATTTTTGTTGAAAAATGGTCTTTAGGGTTGTATTTATATCATTATGAAGTCTTGGAAGAGTTAAGGTTGGACTGAAATTTAAAAAAGACCAAAATAGCAAAAATCCTTTTTCTCGCTCAGCGGCGCCCACTTTTGGGTGGAAAAATCAGCACTTAAAAAAGACCAAAATATGCAAAAATCCTTTTTCTCGCTCGGCGGCGCTCCAGCGCCACGCTGCGCCCACTTTTGGGTGGAAAAATCAGCACTACGCATCTTTCAGTATTTTTATCGTAACTTTTTCTCCCGATATCCAATTGAGGTGATTCAAAATGCGTTGGAAAGATAACGCAAAGGGCTACAACTTTACTTCATATAAATTTCTCCCATTCGAACATTTACTATGTCAAAAATGGGTCTCCATATTCGTATAAAAATCTAGAACATACTTGTACAGTTGGAGATTGATTTGTGAAAATATTTTGAGTACATATTACTCCTTTTTGACTTCCAATTGCATCCGGATGACTCCTAGCAATCTTCAATTATAGTTTCGTAGTCCGAATCAACTATTGAAAAGTTGCAATTGAGTCCTTAAATTTTGAATTTCATCATTTTCATCGTT